GGGCTAAAGGCCCAAACCTAAGATACAACAACAACAACAAAACACAACTAGCACAATACAGAAACAACGACAACACACCTACAAAAACTAACAAACAAACACAAAACTAATGGAGCCCTTCCTCGTCGTACGACCTATCCCAACCAGCAGTGAAGTGATCGACACAAGAAGGATTCGAGGTCCAGAAGCTGCTACCGAAACTGCATAAGGCCTATACAGTAGGTTAACCTGAACCCCAGACCCCTCCCCGAATCAACCCGTCTTTGACCGAGAGAGCCGCAATCAACCCCCACACCCGTGCCACCAGAGCTAATCTAACACCACTAGATGAGACGGATAGCACCAATCTCCAGCTGCCTAACACCACTAGTCGAACCGAGAGGGTGAGCGAAGATCGAGCCTTCAACCCCAACCACCGCAACGAGAGCTGCCACAGCCATCGGAGTCCTTTCCCCTCGACGACGCACGCCCCATCCAACCCCACCACAGCATGCCGACGACCAGGAATCGGAGCCCCACCAGAGAGGCACAGCCCCGCCGTAAACGGCCTAATCCATCCAGAACAGTCAAGGGCGAAAGCAAGGGACTTACCCCCTCCAGACGGGACATCGACTGCGTCAGAAGATAGAGATCCCGACTCAGGTCCATCGCCGACCGGGAGAGGCGCTGCCGCCGGGGAAAGCCCCAACCGCTGTCGGGAATAGAAACCCTATTCTCCGCCAGCTAGAGTGAATTGGAGGTGCGAAATGTCAGGGGGAGGAGGAGGACGGTCTAGACGACTCCTGGCCGAGCATATGTCGGCAACAAGGAAGGCCAATCGGTCGGAATTTGGAGAAGACCTCAAGCACCGATGAGGGTTTTTGGTTGCGAGAGTAGAGCAGATATTTCACGAATAAACTTGTATATATAAATATGTTAATTGATAAATAATTTTATTTTTCTAATTAACAACAAAAAGAAATTTTATTATTGTTATAAAGATAAATATATTTTTTTTATTCATACAATGCGGATGTTAAATCGAAGCTCATCAAGAGATGATTAATTTGATATATTATATATCTAAAACTGATAATAAATACAGAATTTATTAACTTTTAAAATATATTCACAATTCATTAATTATAATAAAAAATGATATTAAAATACAATTAATACATGTAACATGACCATCAATAATCAACATATTTATGGATAATCCGAACCTAATTATTTTTAGATTGAAAATAAATTAAAATCTACCCAAGCAACGAAGCATGTAATTTGTCATATAAGATCCCGAAGCATGAGAGTCTGCCACTTAAGCTTCAACACGTTCTGAATTAATAAATTCAGATCGGAGCTCATATCCACCAGTGCTCTCCAGATCTAGGAGGAGACACATCATATTTTTTTTCTAATTACGAGGTAAAAATACATTTTAATAAAACTAATAAGTTTACTAATATATATGTACTAGTACATTTTAATATACATTTTAATAAATATTCTGAATTTTTTAAATCAATAAAAAATATTATTTTAAATTTTCTTTATTTTTTTACAGAAAAATATATATTATTATATAAATTAGAATAACATTTGTTACTTGTGGGAATTACATATGTTATATTATACTAATTTTTATAACTTATGTTATATAACTACATGAAATTTTAATATGTTTTTTTTTTATTTTTTTCCGGAACGATAGATATGATATATAAAGGCACAAATGTGCAAGAGTACAACCACCGAATTCACACCCAGCCACCTGCTGAATAAAATTGGGAGGACGGGTCGAATGACCGCCTAAAACCGACCCTAACAGGGTAATAACATAACAACACTAAAACAACCCCAACAGGGTAAAAACACAACACTGAAATGACCCCAACAGGGTAATGCTCGAGTGTGGGATCCCAACAGGATAATAAGGTCACACTCGAGCAAACCGGGGCCAAACCTAAAACACAACACCAACAACAACACACAACTAGAACAATACAAAAATAAAAAACACACCTACAAAAACAAACAAACAGACACAAAACTAACGGAGCCCTTCCTCGTAGCACGACCTATCCCAACCAGCAGTGAAGCGATCGACACAAGAAGGATTCGAGGTCCAGAAGCCGTTACCGAAACTGCAAAAGGCCTATACAGTAGGTTAACCTGAACCCCAAACTCCTCCCCGAATCAACTCGTCTTTGACCGAGAGAGCCGCAATCTACCCTCACACCGGTGCCACCAGAGCTAATCTAACACCACTAGATGAGAAGGATAGCATCAAACCCCGGCCGCCTAACACCACTAGCCGAACCGAGAGGGTGAGCGAAGATCGAGCCTTCAACCCCAACCACCGCAACGAGAACCGCCACAGCCATCGGAGTCCCTCCCCCCTGACGACGCATGCCCCATCAATCCCACCACAGCATGCCGACGACCAAGGATTGGAGCCCCACCAGAGAGGCAGAGCCCAACCGTAAACAGCCTAATCCATCCAGAACAGTCAAGGGCGAGAGCAAGGGACTTACCTCCTCCAGACGGGACATCCACTGCGTCAGAAGATAGAGATCCCGACTCAGGTCCATCACCGACCGGGAGAGGAGCTGCCGCCGGCGAAAGCCCCAACCGCTGTCGGGAACAAGAACCCTAATCTCCGCCAGCTAGAGTGAATTGAAGGTGCGAAACGTCAGAGGGAGGAGGAGGGCTGTCCTGACGACTACTGGCCGAGCATATGCCGGCAACAAGGAAGGCCAATCGGTCGGAATTTGGAGAAGATCTCAAGCGCCGACGAGGGTTTTTGGTCGCGAGAGCAGAGCATATATTTCATGAATAAACTTGTACATATAAATATGTTAATTGATAAATAATTTTATTTTTCTAATTAATAACAAAAAAATAATTTTATTATTAATCTAAAGATAAATATTTTTTTATACATACAATGTGGATGTTAAATCGAAGCTCATCAAGAGATGATTAATTTGATATATTATATATGTAAAACTGATAATAAATATAAAAGTTATTAACTTTTAAAATATATTTTCAATTCAATGATTATAGTAAAAAATAATATTAAAATACAATTAATACATGTAACATGACCATAAATAATCGACATATTTATGGATAATCAGAACTTAATTATTTTTGGATTGAAAATAAATTAAAATCTACCCAAGCAACGAAGCATGTAATTTTGTCATATAAGATCGTGAAGCATGATAGTCTGCCAATTTAAGCTCAACACGTTCTGAATTAATAATATATAGAGGGGATTTGACTATTTGTATTCCATTAGTCTAAATA